TTTGCGAATAAAAAGAAACATCAAAACGCGCGACCGCAGCCAACGCAACGCAAACAACCCGCGGGGCCAATGCAATATTGCTCATGCACAAGTGACTCTTGTGCTGGGAATCGTGTGAAAACATCTTTAGAAATCTCCACTGTTAAAAATCTGCGATAAACGATCTTGCTAAATCTGCAAACCTTTTCATATCATGTTCATGCTTATGTTATAACTTTTTTTTTTTTTTTTTTTTGAACTCAGTTTTATTTAGCAATCAGAAATACATAAAGATTCCTATGAGCTAAAATGACAAAATTTATGAGTGATGCCTAAGAAGAACTCCAATGAGAACTTCTCAGTTTTACAATTAGTATGATATATTAGACCTAATCTAAGACTAAGTCTAGGGGCCATTGTCGTTTCAACCTCCTAATGCCAAAAGGTTGAGTAACGTCAACTATAGAAGGATTCAAATGTGAGTCCAGTTTGCGCTTATATTTTTCTTTAACTTCTTTAAACGTTAATTGCACCGTTTTCATATTGAGGTCGCTGTGAATGGTCTCATTTGTCACGTACCACGGAGAATTAAGAATTGAACGTAAAATTTTTGACTGAGTTCTCTGCATTATAGCTATATTGGATTTGTAAGCACATCCCCAGAGCTCAATTCCGTAGGTCCAGATTGGTTTAATAATCGATTTATATAGCAGCAACTTATTTTCGACAGAGAGCTTCGACTTTTTACGCAGTAGCCAATCAAATTCTTTTATTTTGATCATTATTTGCTGCTTTTTTGTTTTTATATGGCTTTTCCAAGTAAGTCTGCTATCTAAATGGAGACCAAGATATTTCACTATGTTCTGTTTCGGAATCTGGACGTTATTTAAATAAATTGGAGGACACGTACCCTCTCTCAGGGTAAATGTGATATGAACTGATTTGGTTTCATTTATGCAAATCTTCCATTTAGCAAGCCACATTTCTAGTTCATTGATAAGTTCTTGCGTTTGTCGGGAAGCTTGATCAGCACTGTGATTACTGCTTAGTATGGCAATATCGTCAGCGAATGTAGCAATTGTCAGATTTTCAAGTAATGGGAGGTCCTTTGTGTATAATACATATAAGAAGGGTCCAAAAATACTACCTTGTGGAACACCTGACATTATTTTGTGAAAATCAGATGTTACTTGATTTACTTTCACTTGAAAAATCCTATCTTGTAGATAGGATTTTAAAATCCCATAATACCTGGATGGAAGGTATGTTTTAATTTTATATAAAAGTCCTGGGTGCCAAACTTTATCGAATGCTTGTCGAACATCCAGGAAAACACCACTACAAAATTGCTTATTTTCAAATGACTTGAGTACAGTTATAACTTGAAGTTTAATTCTAGGTTACGGGTCTAACTTAATATGAGTAGTTATGAACTGTCAAAAAGCTATGTATTTGTTGTGCGATCAGGAGTTTCATACATAAAATCTAACTTCACGTATGTGATATTAAAGAAGCATCCAAAAGTTGCACTTATAATAAAATTGTTATTTGCGAATATAGACCTGTAACATTACATTCCAATTCTATCCATGAATTGGCCCCCATGCCAGCATTCTTCTCCAACACTGTAGAAACAATAGTCAACGGTCAGCGTGATCGGATACAAAAATTAATTTGCATTCACAAATCGTTTGATCTGACCCATGTTCATAGTACGTTCAGTTCATTCTCTGGTCGTGGTATAAATCTTTGCGAATAAATCTACGTTACGAACCGTGCTGGTCTCATATTGCATCATTGGTGATCGAACTTACGTGATGATATGTATAAACAATAAATCGAAATTATGTATGTATTTATATTTTTTGTAGTTATTTCCGAATAGTAATAAGTTAATTATTCTCCCAAAGCTCTTGTGAAAATGGTTTCGCATAACATCACATAAAAATTGTACTTGTCATAAAATTTGCATTTGCAAGTTCACATTGCACTTGAATTAGCATTTTTTAGCAATTTTTATGCGGTCATATCAACTTATGGGAACCAGTTTGGAAAGATGTATTCGTCGTACCGAATATCAAACGTGTTCGGAATCTTGATCCAAAATTTCGTGAAAAACCATAGCATTGAGATTTCAATGGGTTTTGAGGTTTTATACCGCAGATTAAAGATTTCGACTTATAGTATAAATCTAACTACGTTTTTGTTTTTTTTTTTGTTTTTTAATTTGCTATCTAGCATGATGATACCATTTTATCAATCTGGGTAATAAGACGATAGAATATAATATTTGGGTGCATTTACCGGACGCGAACGCGCCCGGAACAAGAACGCACAGGAAACGATTTAGCCTGATTTCCGCTCGGCGCGTATTGGCCGCGTGACTCACTGGACGACACTTGTATAAGGAATAGTCAACGCACACGCCAAGGTTGTCTGCAAGCAAGGCTCACTTGCTAGGATCTCCTAGTGGCTTCTACGTACAGACAATTCGACTTTTGCATTTCAAATTGGACATACACAATCGCTTGCAAATAATTATTATAGAAAATATTATATTGATTTGATTCATGGAGTGTTGTTCCATTTTGACTACACGCGATAAAGAAACTATATTATCATTTAATGCGGCAACTCAAAACAGTTCAAAATTACAAAGTTTCCCTTCCCAAACCGTTCGCAAATGATTGAAGATCAAAGTGGTGCCATACTTATATCTAAAATACGACGTTCCAATTATACGGTTCAACAGGTACACGGTGTGTAGTGGCGCCCAAATGCATTATAAATAAGCCCGTGGGCAAGTTCTTTCATCAGATTTTCTGCGGATCGGTCGCGCTTGCACCGCGGCTCCTAAAAGATATTGCATTTATTAGCGGCTTCGTGAAGTCTTTGTCAGCATCGGCGCGACGGCGAATATTTATTTTAAAGAACGCGAAAATTCGTAACCAAGCCGAAAGAATTATTTTCCGCTAGTATAAATGGCCCGAGCAAGACGTATTCTTCGGGTACAAATGGATTGGGCAATATAGTTGACATCGCAGTTCACTGACTTCACACAACTGCACACATATGTGTGCGTGGTGTCGTACACGACAACCGGATCCGCGATATACCTTTAACTATGTCTTGTCTTCAAGACACCGAGCGAAATTGTTTTTGTTTTCTTCGACTTGACGAACAGTGAATACTTCAATGAAATATTGCGAATTGTAAAAGATTGAAAATATAATGTAAAAGTACTAAAAACACATTATGTTTATGAAACCTACAGAGGTATTACATAATATTCAATTTTGTTATTTTAATTATTAAAAACTACTTTTAGGGCATTGTTTTCAAAAAACCTAAACTCTTAAGATTCATTGATTATATTTCAACGAAAGAAAGCTATCAACTTTAATTATTCGTCTACCAAATCAAGAAGAAACAATTCCATAACGATTGTTAATTAAGTATATGATTCATGTTTGTAACAACTAGCCCCAAGGTTTAGTTTCAACAGGTGTGCTTTTTTATATTAATCAACCAACTATTTAAACAATTTAGCAATCTCAAAAATTGTTACACATTATCAAATACATAAAATTTAAAACAAGTCCTTATTATCGACGCAAACTACTTTTTGTTTTGATAGTACCATGTCAAAAATGACGGACCAGCACAGTTCTGTATATTGCGTCGGCCTGCGTGACAGTTGATATTACCAAATTATGCACAATTTACATGTCCAATCGAGACATATAAATATTTTAATGTCTTTCAAGATTCTATTGAAAAACGCCTGGTACTTATTATTCTTGTTACATTAATCCCCTAGCTCCCCACGTGTAATAATTTTAATCCAATCATAATTTTGATAATTTGTACTAGTTGCACCAATTCTTGGTTTCAGTTCAACAATTACAAAAATCATAAACAATTTCTTTCTGTTACGAAAAAAAACTATCAATTACACTTTTGCAAAGATATTAACAGTAGTCTCGTGCACCAGTCTATCAGCCACCCACGTGACGGCTTGTACACGTATTTTATAACATCCTGTGCGTGAGGTGCGTAGAGTGTGGCAGCACCGTGCCTATCATGATATATTGTACTTATTAGAAGATGCTGGCTACCTCGATATACATTTAATTGTTAGATAATTTTATAGATATGATGTTATCATGATGGAATTGTAATATGATCGTTATACCTGTGACTCATAGTATAATATAATAATTACGTTTATTTTTTTATTGCTTCGCATTCGTAGAGCATATAGTTATCTAAAATATTTCATTTTTTCTACTCTCTCTCTCTCCCTCTCTTTCTCCCTCTATGAATATATACATCCTATTCTATCAAATTTTCTCTTCATTGCATTTTGCAACTGATTTCACATTCTTCCTTTTTTTTTATCTTTCTTCTTCAATTATATCTATCCTGTTCTATCAAATTTTCTCTTCTTTCTTCATTCTTTTTCCTTTTATTTTCTATTCTATTTGAAATTAACTATTGATCTTCTCCAATTCTAATTCTTCTTTCTTTCCTCTCACTCCTAATTTTATTCAAATTCACCTTAACAATTATAGGTTTCAATTAACTATTTTTGTATTCTATCTCTTACTTCTATTTCTATGCAATTTCAAATCAATTTCTATTTAATTTAACTTTAACTCTTTGAAATTCTATGCCATTACCAAGAATCGATCCGAGGATCGCTCAAATGCATATATACACTTGTACGCATTTCGTACATTTAGATATATATATATATATATATATATATATATATATATATATATCGAATCGAAAAGTGTTGATTAGCGATACGGAACCTGTCAGGACTTCAAAATAGCATTAATGTTATTCGGAAACAATATTAACATGCAAAACACACGTCAAGATTTGTGTGTGAATTGCCTTTGAACATCCGCAATATAGTTGAAGACACCTGTCAATATTTTGTTGCAAATATTGTTTAATACATTTATTTTATATATAGACATATTCTAATAATTTTTTTCTTTTGTTTCCAGATTACGCACAATTTCGACCATTCTGATTTTGACTTGCATGCTCGAAGTTACCAAGATCGACTAGATTGGTTGCCTTTGCCAGCGAACAAAAAGCTCGGCGAAGAAACTTCGAAACAGCATTTTGAAGCTTCAACGGTAAGAATCATTTTTATATCATTTATTTTCTATTTTTATATTCTGTTCTTTTTATAAAATGACATTTTACACTAATAATAATATCGTACGGCTTCCAATAATAATAATTTATGAATGAATAACAACTTATTTTGAGAAATGCTCATTAGGAGAAAACTAGAAATCTTGCAAGTAATAATTTCTGTGACATTTATTATCTAAGGATAACAATTATTTTTACTTTTACCTCGTTAATAACAGTACGCGTGTTTCTTATAAAATAGAGAGATTTTCCGATAATTGCATCTTGGCTCTAATGCACGCTGATGTGGAAAGAAATTATTACGCGATATTTGACATTTAGAAATTAAACTTAAAATAGATATTTGCAAAGATCAATTTATTATCATTTAGCCTCAAGTTTCGACAGCTAGTAAGATATTAAAAGAAATTAGTTGCAAGTAGCATTTGGCCTTAATGCATGAACGTATTCATAATCAACTTAAAATAAGAGTTGGGATTTCAGCTATTTAGGTAAAATATTCAACTGTTTATTTCAAAAATAATATTTTCACTAAATGTTCAACAGTGCGATTTTCAAGTGATGTTTTTCAAACAAACTTATATGTAATTGTATGAATTGAATTAATTTGTTTAACGCATTTCATTTTATCCATCTCATGTTCTAAAAGTGGATTTTATGTAGGTCTGGCAAAATTCTAAACTTTGATAATTTTTTAGAATTCAACCGTTTATCGTAGGATTATGATATTTTAGTATGTTTATTTCAGACTACGAAATCTATCGTTATACCAAGTTTGACCTAAACCATAAAAAAAAGGAAAAACGGCCTGGCCGATATTTACCAAAAACGTACAATTTTTAGATTTTTTTGAGTTTTATGATTTTTAAATTTGATTCAAGATTCTAAGCTAAAATGTAGACGCAAAGTTTTGCACTTTTCTGCCAATTCCAAAGAAACGGCTTGGCTGATTGTCACGCAAAACTAATGAACGCTTGTCCTTATCGAATTACATCGAGTGGCTTTCGCCGTAATTGAGAAAAACGTCGACCAAAGTCAAAAATTTGCCCACATTCACACTTTCTTCAAAAATTTGGTCACAGTTAAAACGTCGAGTATACATAAAATTTGCAAATCGCATTTTTTCGCGAAAACTTGAAGTTCTCCTACAAATTTTGTCCCAATTTTTGAAACTTATTTCCTAAATCCATTACTTTCTCTTGCAGTTGGCTACAGCGTTGCCAGAGACCTACGAAATGCTGCAGTACTACGCCGTAGCAATGGAGCAGGTTGTCCATAATTTGAAAGGGGACCCACTTGAGGAGAGGTTCCATAAGATCCAGAATGAAATGCGTTCGGTGTTGGCCGAAGTGCAATCTGCAATGACTGAATGCGGAATTAAACAAAGACCAGACGTTCAGCGTGCAGTGATGTCCGATGAATATCGTATCATTGAACACACGACGTTCCGACGTCTCAGAGATTGGTACATCTATCGCGATTACATGATACTTTTGGAGTACATCAAGGAGCAATTCACGTACCTCAAGGAACGATTATAAGACCCAAAAGTCAAAGCAGGATACATGATGACGTCACATGCGCGGCGGAACAAAACGCTTTATATACTTAATTATTATTTATATACATATAGATTATATTTATTCTTGAACTTGTATTGTCTAGTATTATATTTATTTTAGTAGTATTATTGATTAATTTTAATATCTTAGGAAATTAATTTATGATTCTTCATAATTCAAACTTACATGTCATTTTAATCACGATGTTAAATGTTTATAGTCTGTATCGTGTAGAGAACTTAATTAATCTTAACTTTCATCATTTTATTTAATTATTCATTTATGGAGCGTAAATATAGAGCGATTCGATGAAAAGTTTTAAACATATACACGCGCTCTGATATAGTTGCATTTGTAATTGTTATAGTATATTATACAACCCTATATTATTGATTAAATATTATTCATATATTTATTTGCCATTGATTAGTGAATAAATTATAAAATAATTAAATTATTTCGCTTATCGGTTATATGTAAATGTATAAGCTGTGATACTTTGTTATTTATTGATATACTCGTATATTGTCACCAAGCTACAAGTCTTAAAACAAATTGGCTTTGTAGATTTCCAAATAATTTTAGGTGTTATTTATAATTAAAGTTGGAAGATGCCATAATTTTAACATATTAACAAGATTGTACAATAAACATTGAATTACTTGATCAATTAATTGTTTATAATAAGTTAAATAAATTTTAAATGTTTTATGAAAGTATATCAATGTTGCATTGTAATATATTTAAAACCAAAGATAAACAGTTGTTTTATTAACTTAAAGAAAAATTTAAAAATGAAAATTTTTGTTTTTAAGGTTTTTGACATACCTTTGAAAAATGTATGCATGTGTGTGTGGATGTTTGGGTACAAATTTTTGTCCACAAATTCGAGATTTTTGAATGATTTGAAAAACATTCGATTCCAATTGATGGGAAGATCTTATGATTAGTTTTTGGCAAAGGCAGGTCCAGCCGTTTTGAAGAAGCGAAAAATGGTAATTCAGTTTTTGGGAGAGCGGCACATCCGATTAGAATGATTCAGATAACATTCGATTCGTGCTGATTGAACAAGTAATTGATTATCTTACAAGTATAGCGGTAGAGCAAAAATTGCAAAAATTAGTAGTTTTTGAGAGAACTGCACGGCCGATTAGAGTGATTCAAAAAGATTCAAAAGTTTATTACGTATATTATGTCGTCCTTACATAGATAAAATCGTCGCCTAAATATAAGTGCTTATTGTAGATTTATAATATACGACGAAGTAATTTACAGTATTTATAATAGTTTCTTTAACATATTTAAGACAATTGTTATTGATAAATTTTTATTGATCTTTTATTAATTAATTTTATTTTGCGAATGTTTAATTACTGTGCGGAATGTTCCAGCAATTTGCTTTAAGATGCAATGCCATGCATCACTAGATTTTTTTAATATTTGGAAATTATTGGTACTTCTTATAATTAAAAGGTTGAATGCTAATCTAGTGAGTGGACGTCCGGGTATGACCAACTATTTTTTTTTTAATTTTTTAACAGCAATCAGAACCTTACGTCCTATGAGCTGTTGGGCTGAAACTTCTCCTTACTTCGTATTATTAGATGGTAACATCCATATTTGATGATTTTATTATTAGAATTAATCTAATAGGGCTGACTTTATATTGGTGCAGCAATGCCGGGCAAGGGCTATTTTCACTTGGAAGCATATTGCTATCTATATTTCCAAGTGAAAATCGTTGTCACTGCTGCCTGACAACAGGCTGCTCGAAGTGGGTATCGAACCCGGGATCTCTGATTCAGATCCCGTCGCTCTTAACCGCTTACCTACAGGCGAGCCCCAACTAATTTTAAAGCGATTGTTTTCAGGACTCAACTTTCATTTAACTGCAATTTGGATTTGTACATGGAAATCATCGATCGCGTACATACTACCGGTGCAAATATAACAAATCTAGTGACTTTACTCCGCAAAGCGCCTTCGGCCGATAGCGGCCGCCGCAGATAGATAGGATGCCCACGTTCCGAGAGACGGCCGAGCTCGCGCACGCAAGCGCGCCGCGTGAAAGCTTTCTTCTCGGGGGGGCAACGGCATAACGCAATATGTACGGTGCGCGTTTCATGTGCAAATGAGGCGTGACTAGAGGTGGGGCCGCCGTTTAGCGGCTAAACGATCGCCCCTCCCATTACGCCTGGAATTATCGCAAAATCAGTTGCCGCTCATGCAATAATCATTATCGTAACATTAACATATGGCATGTACTGTTAGTTCAAGAGTTGTTCGCTCTTTTGAAATGGTGTCCCGGCACGAGTAATTATATGTCTTGCTGGGAGATTGACGCTTAGCACATATCAGTGAAAAATACATGTGTTCTTGCAGGCATAATTAGCCGTTCATTTCTATCTTGCGATGTAAAAAGTTTCGAACTTGATTGGTTCAGGTCGTTATGTACTTATCTGTTTTCCATAAATGAGCCTTGTATGGCTTTCTGTATGAACACATTTTTTTTTAATTTATTCAGCTATGTATAAATAATAATTTATGTCTCTAGTTTATTTCTAGAGTGTTATATTAAAAAAATATTAAAAATATGTATTAACCCTCTATGGGCTCATTATATTTTCAGGTCACATTATATTTATGGCTTTTACATGCCTTTTGGCTTTTCAACCTCAAATAACCTTTTCATACTTAAAAATGCGAGCATTATAGGTCGCTGTGTCTTGAGAGTCACATAATTTATTAGTACCAAAAAAATTGTTTAAAAAGAATTTTTTAGGTGTCATTTGCATATACTAGCGGTCGAGAAAACGGAGTAAATTACCCCAAATGGGAAAATTTTTACAGGTTAAAAGTATATATTTCTAATTGATATTAACTGTATTTGCCACGTAGCTGTCATTATTGGAGTAATCTCTGTTCGCCATGGGGCAATATAAAGTTATACAAAAATATTATTGTATATTAATATATATTTACTGATTTTTTGTTTTTCTAATACTTTTAGATGTAAAATAAAAGTTTGGTTTCTAGAAGGTTAAAAAATGAGACTCTATACCGAGAAACGCAAACATTATTCAGTTTTATAATCTTTCAGATTACTATAGTGTTAAAATCAACAGTAGTTAAAAATAAAATCCACTATCTGAAAAATGTTATAAAAAATCTGAAATAAACTAAAAAGTATTAACTAAAAAATATCAGAAAAAATATCAAAAATCATACCAAAACATCTTTCCGTTCTTTTCAAGTCTATATAATGCATACCAAAATCTATAGGTAGTTGTATAGCTAAAATGTCGTTAGCATGTAGTTTTTAAATTCCCGTTATAGTAATCGCAAAAAAACACGAAAATATAATTTTTCCTGAACATTTTTTGTGTGTGCGTGTGTGTTTGCGCGGATACAATTTTTCGTCGACGCTTTGGAGAGCACGGATTAACCATTTTGAATTATTCAAAACGCATTCGGTTCCTATTTGCCGGGAGACGTGCTAATTAGTTTTTGACAAAGACAGGTCCAGCATCTTGATTGACTACAAGAACACGCTTCTATATTTTGTCTCTAAACACAGCTATGCAGCACGATCGTTTTGAAAAAATTTCAAATTTTTCAAAAAAAAAACAAAATTCAAAAAAAAAACTATTTTTTTCAAACATTTTTAAAAAAGTTTAGTTAAGGTTTTTGAAAATGTATATTACGGTATGGAAAGTTCCAGCAATTTGCGTTAAGGCACAATACCATGCACCACAGGTTTGAATATAAAATAAAGTACACTATTTGAAAATCATAAAAAAAGTCTGAAGAAAAACTAAAAAATATTATCAATAGAAAAAGGACCCTACCGAGAACAAATAACTAAAAATATAAAAAAGAGAAGAATAACTTAAAAATATAAAAAAGCACCATACCGAGAATAAAAAACGTCGTTTTGTTTTATAAATTTTTAGTTTACTAAGTAGGGCATACTCAAATCAAGAGTAGTCAAAAATATTTAGCAATTGTGATATAGTTTATATCATATAATATTTTAACTGACTATATGGAAAATCTACTATATGGAAAATATCATCGAAAAATTGGAAAAAACACTAGTATTATAACCGCAAAAATCGTTTATCGTTCTGTAACATTTCATTTCACAATGAAAAGCATACTTAAATCGACAATAATTAAAAATATCTAAGCAAATTTTATCTAGTAATTATAATATATCAACAAGTTTATTGAATAGCCTAAAATTACTTCTAGCAAGTAATTTTAGGCTATCCAAAATATCATCCAGTTTTTACAAGCCTCATAAAGCAATTTTCAAAAGCCATTTTCTATAAATTTTCTTTTTTTAAGTATAATATATAAACGCTTTGTTCTATAAAAATCGTAATAATTACGTATATAACACCTATTTCACTAATTAAATAGTGAGTTACTGTTTAAACCTTCATTATATAAATGATGACCATTTTAGGAATCATTTTAGTTCACATACTATTCGCACATCGATGACGTCCACGAATGTATGACGTATGATACATTAGTGATGACTCAATGAAGAATAAAGAAAGGTTGTTCTCAATACAATAATTCGATGTGTATTTTCACAAAATACTCAATAAAAACTGTGCATCATTTGTGTTTGAATCCCACTCACTATGATTTTATCATATTTATAATATGATTTTATCAAAATTTTGTTTAAAATATCAGGAAGACCAAAAAGTAATTACATTAGAATTAGCTCCAATTTTGACTTAAGGTGCTAGTACTTTTTGTACAAAACAAAAAAGTGTAACAAAAATATCGATATCTAATAAAATTATTATTGAATTGTTAAATATTGATTTTTAATTAAATTCGCCTAATTAACGAAACCAATTTATATCAAAATATTATTAAAAGCGTTTCAAATCACAATCGTGAAATTAAATAAAGAAGATTTATGGGAAAGCTCTCTAGTAATCATAGCAGTTCATATCGT